AACCGGCAAACGGATTCTGACAGTCAGCTTAACCACTTTAGGATTGCATCGTAATAAAAGCTATGGCAGCGCGATCACGCTATCTGAAAGAACGCTGACTGCTTTCAAAAGGTACTAGAAGAGATTGAACTGATTGATGGCGTCGCAAAATGTATCGCGCTAATTATTACTGATTAAATTCCATTATTTTTGCACAAGATCTGGAAAAGTAATACAGATCAGTCACAAAATCGAAAAAGTTTACTGCTTAAATTCGCGGGAATAATGCGCAAAACCAGCAGTGACTAACATTTCAGCAATTGTTGAACCATTGGTTAGAACTAAACAGTCTGCACTTGTCTACTGTCTATACAAGAAAAAATTCACGTTAGACTACCGTTAAGCTCATCCTAGCTGGGTATAATTACTTTGCGTGAGCGAAAACTCAGAAAATAAAACCAGCAAAATACCGAGTCAAATATAAATTTGGTGTTCCCTCAACATTAAGTGCTACAACATTCTTTCGTAATCGCCTAATTTCCTGAAGGCAGCCTGCGGGCCAAAATGCAGTAGGTCGTAATTGGCCGTTAATAATTTACCTCCTCATCTGAAACTGTGTCATGCATTGGGTTTGAGCGAAATGTGCTCCCAGCTGAGTTCTGAAAATGTTAACTGTACCACTTCGACGTTGTTCGTCGTGCATAGACTTTTTGATGATGACAGGACAAAATATGATCAACTGCGGTGAGCCAACCAGCAGGTCATATCATCCTCATAGCGCTCAGTCAGAAAGCGGTAACACTGATAAACCATATAGAGGCCTCAAAGAACTATTACTTCAATGGCGAAGAATGTAGTTGGAACTGGAATGAAGAAAGCCGAATTACCCCTACGGTAATAAAACATATCAGATCCTTTGGCGTACTGGCGAATTAGTAGATGAGTGCCTCTTATATTCCGTTGCGCTCTTCAAAGCATAACATCGGCATCTGGCTGGTACGTTAGACGTTTTCTGACGGAGAATGAAGTTATAGCTTTCGGAGGAAACAGGATGATCAATAGGGCAGAAAGAAAGGCAGACAGGTGAACCGCGTTTCCATAACGGTCACAGTTGCTCAGTAGGCAGAGGACTGCCCCGTAACTATTCACAATGTCAAGGTTTAACCACTGCTGGATCAGAAGAAATGCCCTAAAATATGGTCTCAACGTGGACCTTCAAAATGTTTCACGGAAAAGTTAAAATGATGTATTGGTAATACACTACGGTCAACACCATGGAAACCATTAATCTCAATAATTTTGGAATGGCAGCCGCTGACGTTGCATGCGGGAATGTTCGAATCAGACAGACTTCCGAAAGGGCAACTGTAGTATAGAAAAAGATCTAGAGCAGTGGAAGGATCGCAATTGTCTTAATATTCCAGTTTAATTCTCTTTAAGGGTGCACTCCATTCTATATATTGTGCTATGAAAGAGGAAATCTTCAAATACTATGGAATATCTGATTTTATGATTTGAAACGATGCACAACCGAATCAATCCTGCTAGGAAAGTCTAAAACATTCTGCACAGTGGTTTCGTGCTAGCTGTGAAATTAATTCGAGATGCACTTTCGTTACTATTCGCCATCATTTTCGACTTTCTTCCTCAAGACAGCGTTGATCCGGGCAACGACAGCAATCCCGTTCTAGACAGTACGATGCTCAAGATATCCGACGAGACATTTCCCAGCTCAAGAGAATGCACATGAGATTGTCCTGGAGAGCAGTAGTGAGCGGGCATTGCTACATAGCGGGTTTCATATAATTTAATCCGCGAAGTACACTCTTCTTCTTAACAGCCAGAAGCTAAAGATTATGAAAAATGAATTTGCAGATAAAGCGGAGTGATCAACTGACAGAAAAAATTGACCGTTTAAAGCATCTCGGTTCCGTCTTTTACAGCGCAGTGACCGCGCTATCCAATTATAAATAAATAGCAGATTCGCACTTGCTTTCGGTGACTTCTACAGTATTTGGGCTAAAAGAAAAATATTTCTCTCTGTAATATACATTCATACCTTGCCTTGGTCAGGTCATTGTTACTATACGGCAGAGTGACTGCCGTTCTAAAAATGGGCAGATAGCTATGGCTGGGAAAGAAGGAAAGGAAAACTTGTATCCATTGGAATGTAGGTCTTCCTTGCACTTTCAGGATGGGGCCATTTTGGCGTCCTTCCGCTTAGTTTGGCGTTGATCTTCATTTCTATGTCATCATTTAATGGCAGAATCGACAGTAGCTATGTGGCAGGCACAGGATGCAGTTTGCTGTTTGCTTCCTACAGTGGTACACATCAATTAAC